TTAACCACAAGGTTAACAGAATCTGATTTCACGGTATAATATCAGGTATTCAGGATAAAGGTTCTTTTTCTGTTAAACAGAATCTGATTTCACGTATAATATCAGGTATTCAGGATAAAGGTTCTTTTTCTATAGAAAAAAAAAAAAAAAAAAAAAAAAGTAGTGCAAACAATGCCAATAAAAATCTCCATACTTCCTCCCAATGATAAATGAAAATAGACTTCCTTTGAGAGAGAAATTAACTCAAACGTGAAACCACAAGAAGTAATGCACCAAAAGCTGAACTAAGCATATAGATCATTTTGTGAGTGTTGGTTTCTGTGTCTGAAAACAAATGAAGACAATTTTTTGAAATTTGTAAAATACCTCCATCTCCATTTTAGAAGAAGCTAATCTTGCCATCACTACAGCAGCGGTCTCCTGATCAAATCCCTGTACTAATTCCTGAGGCAAAATTCTTTCATGTCAGCAATGGCCTTTTTCAACTGACATAATTCCCACAAAATTTAAAAATGTCTAAAGAAGCCTATCCTACCAGTGTCGAGAAGGGGAAGCCAAAAAAAGAGAGATTAACATATGCATTGAATAAAAAGAAACATACAAGATAAGACATCATGCATAGGGGTGGGCGTCGTGTCATGTCATCTCGAGTTTGTGGCAGAATTATCTCAATAATAACCTGACCTGTTTATTATTTTGTGTTATCATGTCATGTCATTTTTTATCCGTGTCTGGTTCATGTTGTATTAACGTGTCATGTCAAAAAAATTTACTATTAACTAAAAATATCAAATGTAAGAAAAAAAATTTAAAATTTCTTCACAAATTAAATTTAATGAAACTAACCTCTATTAAATGAAATTATTTATAAGAATATTTGATTTCAACTTAATTTTATTTTCTTAATTATTAAAATTATATTTTATTATTATATTTTTTACTAGATTAACTCAAATAATAGACAAAAAAATACATTAAGTTTAATTAAAAATAAAAACAAAACCTATATTAAACTTAAAATTGTATTTTACATGCGTTTTAAAATAAAGGGTAAACTACCAATAGGTCCTAATGGTTGGACTTAGGCCTCGTTTAGGAATAGGTTTTTTTAGTAACTTTTTGACTAAAAAAAAACTAGTATGTTAGAATGAGTTTTGATTTTTTACGAAAAGATGTGCAAAAAGTAGAGAGAAAAGGGAATCTTTGATTTTTTTGTATAAGTTGTTGGCTTTTTAATTTTTTTAGTGATTTTTTGACTTTTTGGATAAAATCACTGCTTACCAAATGAGGCCTTAATTCCCATCAAGTCCTATTGAAAATAAATCCTAGGTAAAATCATCGTTAAAATAATTTTTTAGGATGATTTTTTGCGTGTCGCTAAAAATTGACAATTAGTGACATTTTTTTATCACGATTTTTATAAATTGTTGCTAAAACTTCCAATTAGTGATATTTTTCTATGACGAATTTTTAAAACTGTACCTAAAAGTTGAAAATTAGTAACTTTTTTTGTGACAATTTTTTTAAACTGTTGCTAAAACTTCTAATTAATGACATTTTTTGTGACAATTTTCAAATCGGCATTGAAAATTAACAAGTAGTGACATTTTTTAATAGTGTTTAATGAAAAAAGCCATTAATTATTATAGGACCTATTGAACAATAAATTCACCTATTAAGACCTACACATTAAGTCTCCCTTTAATAAATTGGATGAAATTATGTAAGAGATCAAAAAAAGTCATGATATTCTTTAGTGGAAATAATATTAAAATGTATAATTCATTATACGGGGTTATTCGTGTCAATTTCGTGTTATACAAATTTGACACTGAAAAATCTAGAAATACAGGCCAAAACTGGAAAAACTGGAAAAATATAACATGATCGATCCCCGTCATAATCAGCGAAGTGGCAATCTTGAAAGCTTTATCATCACAAACTTCTCTGAAAAGCACAATTCGGGTTGGATTCGCATCTAAACACTCATAGTCTCACTGAAATAAAAAGCGAATAAAATTACAACTCAAAGGAGTTTTGTCAAACGGGATTGCCAAGAATAAAACCTAACAGACACCAACCCGACCTCTTTAATATTCGTGTTATCGGGTCGTTTCATATACGAGTGTCAAGAAATGGACAACCCTAACCAGCTAACTTCGTGTACTGTTTGAGTTGTGTCATCGTGTCGCGTCGCAAATTCCCACTCCTAATCATGCATTGAAATATTAAACCCCAAACGGAGAAGTAATGCTCCATTAACAGATATAATTTAAAAACACACACAATACTTGTGTTTCCTATTTCTCCCACCCATGTCCACCGTATACGACAATGGTGCATAAACTCACTTATTTGCAGTTATTTTACAACTTTTCATGCCTAATGCAATCATTTTGTTCCTTCCATCAAATTGTAATTATTTTGTTCCTCCCACTTTTTTGCAAATTTCCCAAAAAAAAAAAAATTAAACATTTTACCATCATACCTCTGAGCCAACAGCACTATCTATCCATCTTCTACTAATGGTTGTAACTCGCATCCTTGTTTGACCATCAGGACTTTGGTAACTGCATTTCAATATTTCACCAAACATTATTTGGTTACATTGGAAGCATTTTCCTTTTTTGTTGAAAGGTAAAGCAAGTCAATGTATTTATATAACCCAATAGTTACGGCAATAAATAGGCATCAAGTCTTCCAAGAATGGAGCCTGTAGGTAGATCTCCAATATACCTTGTTAGGATCTGTATATACAACATTGTATTTAAATTTCCTGCAGGTTCTGACTTTTCACTAGATGAAATATCAAAGAAAACAGTCAAGCAGGTGCTTTTGTCGAGGCTGCACAACTTCCAGGCTGTAGTGTTCCCCTGTCCAATGACTGTATTTGCAACAGCAGGCCCTTTCTGCAAGGCTTACAGTCATAAGTATCAAGATTACAACTAAGATTTAATCCAGATTCTGTTATGCAGTCAAGCAGAGAACAGCTGTTCAATTACAGGAACAACTCCATCATCCTAAACAAAATTGTACATACAGATATTAAATAAACCAACCTTCTCTAATGTTGTGCAAGGTCCAATGATGCCCTGAATTTTGATATCTTTAGAACAGTTGATCTCAAGTGTTCCACTGAAAGAAATAAATCATTAATGAATTTATAAGCCTAACATAACCCACATCAAAGTTGCACAAAAATCTCCCTATAATTTAAAATCTCAATATCATCCACATATTGTTAACATATGACAAATATAAAAGTATTCCAATACAAAATTTCCCTATAATTTTTGCCAAAAGAAATTCCCAACAACATTACTAGCATATTATTGAGATTTTTTATAAAGAAATTATATATAGTAGAAAATTTAAAATCAATATTGAAAATAAAACAATCAAATTTTGTATGGTGGATAGGTTAAACTTCTTCTAGTTTATAGGTTCACAAAATTTCTTTTTTCCAACTTCATTCTTGGCTAATCTCATAAATATATTGCATTCCAAAACTTCATTGTAAAGGTGAAATTATGTCCTCCATATAAAAAATGTATGGAATTGCAGGAATATAAGAGCATTTTAAGGGTATTCTATTCCTCTATGAGTTTTACAACACTTTAAGACTTGCACGTAAATGACATCTCTACATGGAAACATGATACAAAGGAGACATTTACAGAAACTTAAGAAATGCTTAAACACTAGCTAGTGATTATAGCACAAAAAGTAAGTCAAAGAAACACACACACACACATACAATGCCTATGTAAAATAGAACAATAGAATAGGAATGGCAGCACTGGATTTTGTTAGTGATGACTCAAGTATTTAAGAGAAATTTTATTTTGATCTCTGAATAAGATGGTGAAAACAAAAACCTTTAAACCAATAAGATTTCATAGCACGATTAAATAATTGAAGGCCAACGAAACAAGCTTATAAAAGTCACAATAATACGATCAAAACTTAAATAAACAACAATTAAAAGAATATACTAGACAGATCTTAATGCTTTCAAATGTTTCATAATGAACTCACTTGAAGGAGAGACCAAGAGACTGTTCCCCATCTTCAAAAACACGCTTGAAAGAGTCTTTGAAAACAGGATGACCAAAACTTTCAGATAGAACGACAAGGCCACCAGTTCTTTCAATAACAACCTTCATTTCTGCAACACCAACCTAAAAACTAATACTAGATTAGATCAGAGCATGACAATGCATCCATCTACAAGGATTCAACAAACATTCCTCAAGTTCTAAAGAGGGCACTCCAGCAAAAAAAAAGCTACAAGTTACCCACACATGATAGAAACAGATGTATCATATGTTAATGTTACACAAACCCTTTCTTCTCAATTTGAAAGGGTAACGATGCAACCCAAACTAAATCAAAAGGAAAACTAGAGCATTGAAAAATGAAAGAAAACCACAAATGAATGACTAACAAGCCTGTAAAAATCTAAGACCCATACAAGATATGAATATCCTCGAGGTTTTTTAAGAGTTATATTTTAGTTTGGGTAAATTACACAAAAAAAAAAAAAAAAACCCAAGGTTTTATGTGCTTTTCAAAATAAACCCCAGGATTTCAATTGCATCCATTTAAATCCTGATTTTTTAAATTTCGTATCAATGTTAACTATCTGTCCATCTCTGTTAACTTGTTTGACAGGAGAAAAAAATAAAAAACTAATGCACACGTGGCACATTTTCATTCGCCCATTTCACTTAATATTAATCTTATATTTTAACATGATCACACCATATCAATACCACCATATATTTATCATCCATTACATCAAAGCCATTTATCATATACTTACCATGAACTTCAACACAATGTATCAAAACTCTCACCTTCCCCCTTTTTCTTCTTCTACAGGCGCCAATGAATAGTCACCACCCTTGGCCTTCTGCCGCCACCCCCTCTCTCAGCTCCACCATCACTAGCTCTCTCCGCCACCCCCTCTTAGATCCACTACACCCAACCCTCCACTCCCACCTACTTCCCTCAGATCCGCCATTGATAACCCTCATCTACCACCCCTGCCTTAGATCCTCCACCGCCAATCTCCACTACCACCATTCCTTTCAGATCTACAACTCCATGCCACCGTCTCCATCAAATCCACAAATCAATTTTTATAATAAAATTGTTGCAGATCTGGGAGAGGGAAAGAAATTAGAGAGAGAGAGAGAGAGAGAGAGAGAGACTGGGAGTGAGGCATGTGGAAGAGAAGGTCCTGCAATGGGAGTGATGTATAGTCTGCATATCTTTTTTTGCGATCTTAGTCAAATGGGTCGTGCTTATATTGCTTTGATTGATCTTGATTTGTGAAGTTTTTGGTATTGATTTTGGTTCACTTTGGTGAAAACTGTTGAATTTGTTGATTAATTTGGGCTTGATTGGAAGGTTTGGGGGTTGTTTTAGATGTTTGGAGGATAATTTATGTTGGAGCTTGGTCTGATATTTTTGTGGTTTGATCTCTGTATTAAGGTTTAGTTTTGTTGATTTGAGTAATTTACAGTTTCTTAACAGTCAATTTAATAGAAGATTGTTTATGAAATTGATTTGTCTATTTCTTATGTTGTTTTATTTTTGGAGACGAGATGATGAAGAGAATTGATGAAAAGGTAAAGAGAATTGATCTGGTGTGGTTCACACTAGGGTAAGATAAAATATAGATGGTTATGATACATTGATAAGTAGAATTTTGATATGATTTGGTCAAATTTAAAATTAATTTAAGGCATCAAGTAAGAACATGCCACGTTTATTATATAAAAAGATTCCGTTGAATGATTTAACTGAAATAGACGGAGGGTTCAAATCAGTGTTTTAAAAAGCTCTAGGCGCATTGAGGCGCTAAGGTCTCCTGGAGCTTAAGCGTGAGGCGTGAGGCGTGAGGCGTGAGGCGTGAGGCGCAAGGCGAAGCGCGCACCCCACTGAAGCGAGGCGCAAGTTGTTGAAGATAACCAAAGTACTAATATAGGCAAAGTTTTTAACATAAAACAAATATTCTTAGAATTTAAAAAAATAAAAATAAAAAAAACGACATTCAATATTCCAAAAATCATGAAAAATAACATTCAACGTTTGAAAATTTTCTCAAAAATAACATTCAATCTTACTTTGCCCTATACTATCTATCTTTCTTTATCAATTTATTAACGTGATTCTTTTTCTTTTTTTTTTAAGATAAGAAACTCACACCATGTAATATCTTAGTGGGTTTAATTTTAAATCGGGACCAAATTGCCTGATAGATTTAATCATTCTTTTAATCTGGTGTGGTTCACACTAGGGTAAGATTAAAAATAGATGGTTATGATACATTGATAAGTAAAATTTTGATATGATTTGGTCAAATTTAAAATTAAAAATAATATTGTATTAATTTAAAGCATCAAGTAAGATCATGCCATGTGTATTATATAAAAAGATTCCGTTGAATGGTTTAACTGACGTAGACAAAGGGTTCAAATTGCGTTAAAATTTAAAATTCAAGGTTTAAATAGATAAAATTAAAACCCTAGGTTTAATTTGAAAAATACGTAAAACCTTAGGTTTTTTTTTTTTTTTGCAATTTGCCCTTTCAGTTTTGTTTTCATCGTTACCTTTTAATCTAAAAGACAGAAGCAAATGTTTTTGTATAAAATATAGTTACCGTCCATTTTGAAAAAGCAACAGGTAAAAACTCGCATTACTAACAAATTGCAAATACAATTGCAGAATGCATAACCAAATATAAAGGACCACAACAAACCTGATCAAGTGCAGAAGCAAAAAGGTCTAAGACATGACCCTGGCTGACCAGCTGCTTTGCAAGTTCCTCATAAAATTGAACTGCTTTTTTAAAATATGGAGCTGCATCCTTATCGAGATCTTTATGGGAACGCACTGGATCCGACATATCTTTTGATACAATCTGCTTAGGAAGGGAAAATAATAAACAAGTAAATAAGATATCAACTCTTGATGAACATTAAAAAGTAAAAAAGCTAATATAACATAACCAAGCAGAAAAGCATTTAAAAAATAACTTTTTTCATTTTTTCTAAATGAAATTTACAAATTCTATGTTTGAGTTTGACTGATACTAGTGATGGCAATCCAATCATAACTTCCATTTACCCTTCTTTCTTTCTCTTTTTTGAGGGCAAAGGTGGAATAGAATGTTGCGATGAACTAGTATCACTACGTAGAATAAACATTTAAGAAACAGTAAACTAAGTGATCTAATAAATGGTAGCATTTTCATCACACCAGTTCTTCGCTCACTTGCACATGTAACAAAAGAATCAGAGCACTTACCGCACCCGGCCCTTCCGTGCATGGACCGCCCACCAAACCTACAATTCTAGCAGGAGTGCCAGCTGAACAAGCTCCAAGCAAACCCGCCGCAATGCTCAATGCCACTCCCGTGCACCTAAATGCCCGATTACCGGGTGGCACAGGCCACTGATCTGTACCTAACTCATCCAAAAGCTGAAATTCACAAAAAATATCAATCACATTTCAGAAAATCAACCCATTTATCAAGTCACAAAATTGAATACAAGGACTAAACCATCTAACCGAATTTAGCATGTATTCACATTCCGAAGCCGGCAACAAAAACTTCGTAACCCCCGAAACCGCCAATCCCCCCTTCTGAATCCCAGGACCAGTCCTCCGACCAGCCAATCCGAGCCCCAATTGATCCAAAACCTGATCTTTCGACAATTCCTTCGAACCCCGAAACACATAAACCTTGGACATATCCGAAAAACCCAATTCATGAACCTGAACCTGAGTCCCAAACGAAACAAACCCAACAAGCGAATTGTCCGGTAACAACCCGATCGCTTGTTTCAATGCCGATTTCGCAAAACCCAATTCCTCCTCGATCACACAAGTATCAAGCACGAACACGAACACCGGAGGCTGAGAAGTTGAATAAGGGCCAGCGGGGAGAGAGTAGTCGATGGAGGTGTATTGGGGGTAGAGTTCGGCGGGGACATTGGTGTCGGAAATGGCGGAGTAGTGGTGGGGGAAGTGGTTGCGTTGGAAGCAGAAGGGGCAGATCCAGATTAAGGCGGCAAAGTCGACGCGGGAGAAGGGGTTGAGGACGGCGGAGCAGGTTTTGCAGCGGAGGGGGGAGTAGGGCAGAGTGGGGACGTCGGGGTGGGGGCGGATCGGGGAGATTGAGGCGGCGATTGGGATGACGCACTTGCTGGATTCGACTTTGGTGCGAGGCCAGGCGTTCCAGGTCATGCGTACTCCGTCGATTCCTTCTGGATCTGTCTGTGCCATCTCCGACATCTTTTTGATTCTGGGTTTTTCTGGGTATCGGTTTTGGTTTCTGGGTTTTCAATTTCAGAGAGACAGAGAGGACGACCCCTTGAGGAAGGAGAGATGGGGTGAAGGGGTCACCGAAACAAAAGACAGAGAGGAATTGAAGACTGAGGAATAATGGGCACAGCACAACAAAGAGGAGAGAGAGCGACAGAGATATATTTACGGACGTTACTATGAAGTAATTGCTTGCCAATGGGGAATTTTTGTTTTTAACAAATTTTATTTATTGGTATTTTATGAAGCACAATTCAATAATGAATCATTTGTTTGTAAATAAAAATAAATAAATATCCCTTGTTCTAAATTGATAAAAGCAAAAAAATAACTACCTCAAAGGGAAATGCACGTGTATTGATTTAGATATGTTAGAGCATCTCCAATGCACTAGGCATATAATACTTGTTAGGTAAAATGCCTAGTATGATTCATTTTTTTCAATTCCAATGCACTAGGCATATGATTAGGCATTTTGGCTCAACTCATATTCACTAGCTACAGAGAGCGACAGAGATATATTTACGGACGTTACTATGAAGTAATTGCTTGCCAATGGGGAATTTTTGTTTTTAACAAATTTTATTTATTGGTATTTTATGAAGCACAATTCAATAATGAATCATTTGTTTGTAAATAAAAATAAATAAATATCCCTTGTTCTAAATTGATAAAAGCAAAAAAATAACTACCTCAAAGGGAAATGCACGTGTATTGATTTAGATATGTTATATGTTTAATATTTATTTTTGTTTTCTTGTTGATTTAGATATGTTATGTGGTGTTTTGAAAAATTAGTAGAAAGTTGATTTTTTGATTTTTTTTAATCTATTTTGTCTTTTTATAAGTAAAAAATGTGAGAGATAATATAATTCAAAATGAGTAAAAGCTAAAAATTACATTTTTTTCCTTTCCAAAACAAAACACCCATATATGTGTAATATTTATTTTTGTTTTCTTGTAGTTTTTGTTGGAGAGATTATATGGCACCCCCAGATCCTTACGTTAAGATTAATTATATTTTATTTCTTCAATTACACTTTCAAGGTTGTCTTTGGCCTATTTTAGGAATTAAGTTAAAAGTTCATTGTTTAACTTTGGGTCATATCATTTTTTTATTTTTTTACATATTTTTTCAAAAAAGAGTTTAAAAAAATGAAAAAGTTACCTTTTAATATGCTTCTCAAAATATGATAGTCTAAGAATTTATGTCTCATTTTCAAATTAAGAAATAAAGTGAATAAGCGAGTGATTTCTTCTAGGGGCTGATGTAGCGAGGTATGCATGTGATTTCTTCTAGGAGTTGTCGGTCATCAAAGTTCATGTTCGAGGCCTGCTTCAATCTCCACTTCAATTGGATTGGAGTCCACCCGCTGCTGGGATCTTCAAGGTGAATTTTGATGGGGGCTTGCTTTGTGTCTGAGGGAATTGTTGGGGTATAAGCTGTTATTCGAGACCATAATGGGACTGTTATTGCGTCTATGTCTGAGCAAATGGATGCAGAGTTGGAGGTTGATTGTGTTGAAGCTTGGGCCGCTCTCAAAGCCGTACAGTTTGCCATTGATATTGAGGTGCAAGATATCATCCTCGAAGGGGACTCCCTTGTTGGAAATGGCTGGAAAAATTTTGGGTAAAACAAAAAGAATTTCTAAGGCTTCGTTTTGGCAAGAGCTACACGGGGTTTTTTTTGACTATTTTAGCCACAAAAAATAAAATAGACTATTTTAGCCACAAAAAACAAAATATCACATCCAACCCATAATCATTACATTCTTCTCTCACCAAAAAAGCCAAAAAACCCTTCTCAAACCAAACTTTTTAACCCAGGCTAAAATAGCCAAAAAAGTCAAAAAGCCAACCCACTTCCCAAACGGAGGTTAAGTTTGGTTTATTATTAAAATGGGACCAGTGTGTCTATTTTCGCGGATCAAAGTGGTAATCCGTTTTATATCGCGTTGTGATTCACGTAGTATATTTGGTTGCTCAAAACCATTACCGAGTGAATGAGAAATTGAAGCCAAAGTATGCTCCATAGAAATGGAGTTTTTGTGAAAAATCCTTAAAGGTTTGAATAAGGCTTGTCCCACATTAATTTGGTGGGAAGTTTTGAATGGGTTTATAAGGCTTAGGATTAGAACTTGGGGTGTGCCCCAAGGAATACCCAAGTTTGTAGAAGGGAGAGGTTATGGGCTAGACCCATTGGACCCAAAAATCACCACGGGCCGCCGTCCTTCCGGTCAGTCGAGCATGGGTGCGTGGTGTGAGGTTGGGCTTGTCCAGCCCAATACCTATCTTTTTGGGGCCAAAAACATGCATTTATTTGTTGATTGATCATTTTATCTTGGGAGATAGACATACACATTCTGAAAGTACCATGGAGAGGACGAGTTTGTCTTAAGGACACAATGCCGAACACTGGACTTGATCAGATTATTATTCGAAGAAATTAATTAAGTAAGTTGTTTAATTTATTTTCTGTTTTATTTGTTTATTTAAATCAGATTTTAATTTTGTTTTAGTAACAAAATAAACTATGTTTTTATTTATTTAATTTTTATTTCTAGTTTGATTTTTGTAATCAAACATTCTTTCTCCTTTCTTATTTTTCTTTTGTATTCTATTTGTCGTTTAGTACCCAAACAGAATTGATTTATTTAAGTATAGTAAAGATTGTCCAACATCTCTTTCTGTTGTTCGGGTACAAACTCTTATGGCAGTTCCGACAGTGGGGTGTCCAACATGTTCGTAGGCAAGGGAACTCACTAGCACACTACTTGGCTAAGATGGCTGTGGAGTTGGTAAGATGCTCAGTCTGAATGGAAAAACTTCGATTGCGTTTAGTAGAGTTTTGTAACTATGATTTGAGAGTATGAGTTGTATTTTGAGTTTGTGAAGTTTGAAATTATGATTTGAGTGTGAAAAATTTGTTTGGTAAAGAGTTTTGAAAATAGTTTTGAATTGAGTGGGGAATTGTTAATGTGACATTTGATATTTGATACAAAAATTTACAATTAATAACCAAACATACAACTCAAAATTAATTTAAAACACATAAATTTTTTTAAAAAATTCAGAAAATATTTTTTCAAATATATAAAAATTAACATATGAAAAAAAAAAAATCACTGTTCCGGTCAATCGACCGGTCAACCGGCCGGACGACCGGTTAGACCAAATTTGAAAAAAAAAATTCCGAAAATCGTGCCTCAGACAGAGTGCTTTGTGCAGAGTTTTGGAAATGTGTTTTGAAAACTCTAACCAAACATGATATTTGAATCAAGGTGTAGAATCGTGATTACAAAACACAACCAAACAGAGCCATATTCCGATGAGATCGTTAGTTGTGAATGATGTTTTGATTAATTCTGTTTAGTATTCTCCATTTTACTATCTTCAAAAACAAAATTGAAATAAAGGGCTATTCAATGATATTAGGGAAGTAAAGTGTAATTAGCCCCGACTTAATATTTTATATGTAACCTGTTAATCAAAGTTTTAATTTTACTATACTGCTCTTATAAGCACATTAGCATCATCTACTATTTGTTTCAACAAAAATGATTTATCCATTGAATTTGAGTTTGTCCGAATCGCTTGAATTTGTGCATGTCAGTTGACCACCAAGACGACTGCCAAAACTACTAACCAGATGACTAGTGCAACCCTTGTCAACTGTGACTGTTACTCTCGTTATCGAATGACGTACTGAATGACTAGCGTGCATAAATTCAGGTAAGTCAAACAAATTAAAAATCAGTGAATTTAACATTACTCTTGTTTCAATTAGTTGTGTATATGTTTATGTATATTAAAGAAAAAATAGCTTAGAAGGTGTTCGTGTATGTAATTACATGATTATTTATCTTAACGAAATTTGGCTTTTATTTCTTTTTTGTCTTTTTTTTTGGCAAAGAAGACATTACAAGAGCTTTGAAATATTTTAAAGTCATTTATTCTAGTATTTTGTATTCATTTTCATTTAAATGAAAAAAAAAGGGGGCAATTTTTAGACAAGTTGAAAGTTTATTCTTCTTAAGGATGGACAACTATCATTTTGTGTTAGATTTGGATTAGATATGTCTTTAGAGTGTGAAACACTTTTAAACTCATTTATTTAATAAATGAGTTTGAAAAGTCATTCAAAACTCTCGTTTAAAAATTGGGTTGGTTTTTTGGCTTAAGCTTGGAACTAAAAAGTACATTTAGATTAGACTTTTTAAATTTTTTAATTTTTATGAGAGAAAAAGTAAAATAATTATGATTTGAATGTAATTTTATTTAATTAATTTTTAATTTTTTTTTATTTTTTTTGTAATTAATTTAACTAAAATGTCAAATTAACTTACATTTCAAACGAATGCATAATCTTAAACACTAAAAATGTGATTTGGGATAAGAAAGTTTGGAAGGACTCTTGCCCTTATGGCCCTTTTTTTTTCTTCCAAAACTTTGAGATGACATCTTTATTATTTATTTTTAAGCAGCTAGTATCTAAGCTATGGTAGTGCAAATTAAAAAATAAAAATAAAACAAGCAAAAAAAAGAAAAAAAAAAAGAAAGAAAGAGAAAGAGTCTGATTTAAAGAAATACAAACAATTCTCGTTCTCTAATTTAGTTTAGCTTGATTCAGTGATTTTGTAACCACACCTTAAGATGTAATGAAAGGAATGTTAGGAATTTAAAGTGATGGAGTAACGATATCTCCTTTAATTATAATATAACTTTACTAACAAAATTTAATCTCTTAGAATCTTGATTAAGAAAAAAGATCCACTTGACCCAACTATAGGCCTAAATGTCTCGTTGATAATTTAGAGTTGTGTTTTGGATGAGATATATAGGGCCAATATTAGAGTTACGCTAACTCAATCTCGAGCCTGCTCAACAATCCAATATATTATTTAAAAGACATTGATTAATTATTTATTCATTCGAATTTGTTCAGTTCGAATTCATTCAAATGAGATTCTTTTCGGAAAGAGTCTCTCGTGAGTTTTGAAATGGAAAACTCTTATTAGAAAGAATATCATTCGAACGAATTCAAGCTGAATAAATTCGAAAGATATGCTAAAAAACATTATAGAACTCATAATTGATAATTTAGTGACTAAGTTAGCATAAAACTTTAAGAGCTCCTTCTAGATAATCAGAAATTATTCTATAGATCAAGAA